GCAACAGACTGGTGATTCGCTGCCAATCCAGAGACACTGGACTTATCTTGGGTGATTGGACGACAGTCCAGAGACACTGGACTTATCTTGGGTGATTGGACGACAGTCCAGAGACACTGGAGGACGGCAGTCCAGAGACACTTGACTTATCTTCGGTGATTGGACGACAGTCCAGAGACACTGGACTTATCTTCGGTGATTGGACGACAGTCCAGAGACACTGGACTTATCTTGGGAGATTGGACGACAGTCCAGAGACACTGGACGAGTATCTTGGGTGATTGGACGACAGTCCGGAGACACTGGCCGCGTGATTGGATTGAATCTTGGGTGATTGGACAGTTCTGGGCGACTAAGGATCAAGTTTTGCGGCCTTCAAGGCCGTCTAAGGCCACGCCTTGCAGTGGCGCCAGTAAGGCGGCCGAGCCGCGGAGAGAAAAATTCAATTGCATTTCTTCAAAGTATTTTAATCTCAATTTCATAGAAAGTATTAGAAAAGTATAAGTATTTGAATAAATTATGTTAACAGTAAACCCTCAAGCTATTTATTTTGTCGATTGTCGCTATATTCCTTCATTTATTATAAATACTTATATTATCAGTCTGCTTCTATCGCAAGTTCACAAGGAATTTGAAAGCAATATCGATATGGTGAATCTGCATGGTGTTTTCTTTGCTTTTAAATTCTTTGTTTATATATTATGTCAAGTTTGGTGCTGATTTTTTATTATTGTGAGAAGTGGACGCTTGTGCTAATAGTTTGGTCTAGCTGGAAAATTACGTGAAACTTACGTATTCGAATAACACATTTTTGGACTTCGTCATTATAAACTTCATCAATATATTTATACATATTTTTTCTTTAATTATGGAGTTTGGTCTTGCAAGAAAATATTTTGAAAGTTGTTTATTTGTGGAATAAATTAATTGACTTCATCATCGTTAATATTATATGTTTATTTAATACTCGATTTTTTTCTATTTTGGAGTTTGGTCTATTTCGAACGTGTTGTAAAACTTTTTTATTCATATTTTAAATCGATTGGCTTCATAATTATTATAAAATTACTCAAGATCGGTTTTTCTACCTTATGTTTAAAACGAGTCTGGCATTTCCAACAGAAATATTTAAAGGTGCAGAGAAAGTAAGGCTACTTCTGTACGAAGTCGCATTCTCACGCGCCATACGTCAATTTTCTAATTCATTCTCCAATTTTAATATGTTTCATTTACTAGAAATATTTCCTATTAATTTCCCACGAACATTTAATCAGAATATTAAATTGCATTCATGGTCAACTCTTCAATGAGTTTAATTATACGAAAATTATCTTTTTGTCTACATTAGGGAATGTATACGATTTTTTTTTTTCATTTTTGCCTGGCGCTATAAATAAATAGGGGCTGTTGGGGCGCGTATCCAGGATACTAATAGCGTCGAGATATTGCCTGGTCCTAAAATGTGTTTTTACTGATGGAATATTGAAATAGAATTTTCCATTTAGACTTCTAACTCAAGTTGATCAAATATCGAAAAATATTCACGTTTCGAAATCAAGGCATGATGTAAATTTATTATAAACTGTTAATAGTGTGAAAATTAACAACTGGATTTTGGATAAAAAATTCAGAATAACGGGATTCTAAGTCTCAATTATGTTCTTTCCTGGGTTATGTTGCTGTTGGACAAAAAATAATCGTTTCAAGAACTTAAAACATTTTTGTTAAACCATTTGCAAGAAATATCAAATGTCTGCTTTTATTGATTATATGATGATGGGAAAGGACACAAAAAAAACGTTACACTGTCATTTTAATGCATGATGATTCATACACTCGCAAATTCTGCCACGCAGGAAATACACGAAGCAGTCTGTATGGATATATACATGTTGGGTATAACGCGTGTATACTGAGCCCATGTATATGTATTTAATTATGATACACATTTAATGTGGTCTTATCACGACTTTAATAAGCGAGAGCTAAGTCCCGTCATGAAAAATTCTCTTGCGTTTCTCTGGACCAAAAATAAAAGCTATGAATTGACAGAAAAAATAATAAAAAACAATACTGAAGACGAGAAAATTTCGAGAAAACTAAAAATGAACAGAAATCAGAATGAAAACTAAAAATTTCGGCCAAAATAACATAGAAGTTATTTTAAAAATTCGTGACACATGTAGTAAACAGGGAGAAAAAAATCCACAATGTAAAAAAACTGCCTACACGCATCGCTGTAAACCTGTGTAAAAAGCTGACAAAAACTGAAAAACACTACGGAAATATGAGACAAAAATCACGTAAAGCAAAGCAAGCAATTGCCAACAAGAAAAATCTGTTAAGTTCTTCCTGTCTGAATTCTCTATTTACAAAAATAAAGAATTGAATTCTTTATTTCCTGAAAAGAAATGAAAAGAAATGAATTCTTCATTTCCTGTCTGAATTCTTTATTATTTAAGGTCGCAGGGTGGAAATTATGGAGAGGATGTGTTTTGTTTTATAGACCGGCAGTGAAGAATAATATATTTGGGAGATAAAGTTGATAGAGAATAACGCTCATTAAGTGGATATAGAATATAAGAAATAAAGTTGATATAGAATATAAGAAATAAAGTTGATATAGAATTTAAGAAATAAAGTTGATATAGAATATAAGGAATAAAGTTGATATAGAATTTAAGAAATAAAGTTGATATAGAATATAAGAAATAAAGTTGATATAGAATTTAAGAAATAAAGTTGATATAGAATATAAGAAATAAAGTTGATATAGAATATAAGAAATAAAGTTGATATAGAATATAAGAAATAAAGTTGATATAGAATTTAAGAAATAAAGTTGATATAGAATATAAGAAATAAAGTTGATATAGAATATAAGGAATAAAGTTGATATAGAATGTAAGAAATAAAGTTGATATAGAATATAAGGAATAAAGTTGATATAGAATTTAAAAAATAAAGTTGATATAGAATAAAAGAAATAAAGTTGATATAGAATTAAGAAATAAAGTTGATATAGAATTTAAGAAATAAAGTTGATATAGAATGTAAGAAATAAAGTTGATATAGAATATAAGAAATAGAGTTGATATAGAATTTAAGGAATAAAGTTGATATAGAATATAAGAAATAAATTGTATGAGATAGGAACACTGAAAAAATTGGGCACTAACAAAATAGATCGCAAAAGCAACGAAAAGCCGTCGAAACATTCGAACAAATACGGAACAATAATATTTACAAAGGTGCTTCAAAATTCGCGATTATAGTAAATAAAAAATTTAGAAAGCTGGTTTGTCTGGGACTATCTTACTCCTCCATTAATGTTTAAAGAGAACACGAGAAAAAATTCGGCGATCCATCAAAACTGAAGAACAATGTGATCCAATTTACAGAAATAATCGTAATTCATCTCAATATGATTTTCAAAAGTAAAAATAATAAATGCATGGAAAGTATACGGATATAAGCGCGCATACTCATGAAAACTGTAGTGGCATTATTGAAAATATTAGAACGACATATCATGATAATTTTAGACATAAATGATCAAATATGATAATTTTATAAAAAAAGCACCATTAGGAGAAATGAATTTCTGTAATGGCATTACTGTTATATTGTGACAATTGTGGTATATAAGCAGCACTACTATAGGAAAAGTACAAGCACAATCAAGTATTGGTAAAATAGCAGTACTGACTTCACAGTGTAAGAGCAGTGTACTTATAAAACGGTACTTTAAAAGCAGCACAAGTAAATAAGTATTACACTACATATAGTGCAGTATCAGTAGCACACGCATTATCTCTCTCTTAGTATCAACATAATTAGAGTATGGCAGCAGAATTTACAATAAATCATATGCATGAATAATAAACATACATATATTGCCGCCTTAATCACAGTGGATTCATAGTTCTGCACTCAGCTGAACTACCGTGAGCACCGCCTTGTGTAATTCATACAGACTTTTATTTAAGTTTAGTACGTATTAAAATATTTTCCACTTAATAATGTTATGGAAATTTAATGCAGTTATCAAGTGCTTTAGTTATTTAACACGCGCAAAAAAAGGGAATTGGAACAATCAAAGTAACGATGATTAAAAATTGAGCGACACGACTGTATCATCGGAACGGTTTCTGATGATAATATCGTCACAGATTCAACTCGTAGCAAGTTCAATTGTTCATGGGTTCAATTCGCGACAAGTTCAGTTACTCACGGGTTCAACTGCAGTACAAGTTGAGCACAAACTTGAGTTGGGTTCCAGCGCACGGAAAGTTCGAGCGCAAATGTGGTGAAACACGTACAGTTATTTTAACTACCGTGACCATAAAGATCATAAACCTATAAGGTTTAATTAATAATGAGCCTATGCCCTTAATAAAATAGTTACTCAATGCAAAATAAAAAAAATTCAGCACATAAAATTTTCCTATTATTCTCTAACAAAGAGCAACAATGATTAATTATCCAACAATAATAAAACTAATTCACTTCTATACATACACGAAATCCAAAACAAAATCTCTTGATTACCTATCCCGAAACATAAGATGCATATATAACCTTTCAAGAAAATGATATCAATAAAAGCTACTATAAATCCGCTCACGCTAAAAAACATTTATGGGAATGCATAACCTTTCAAGAAAATGATATCAATAAAAGCTACTATAAATCCGCTCACGCTAAAAAACATTTATGGGACACGTGGATAAATTGAAGGTACACGCTCATGTAATGAAGGAATGCAACTCCACAGGTCTGTTGAAATCCATATCAGATGTTGCATTCTTTTCCTGGTCCTTATAGTGCAGTCAGGACTTGGTAAAGAGCAGATACAGCGGAAAGTTCAAGGCGAAATGCAGGAGTAAGCGGACCATTCCAGTTCTGCCAGGGGCCATACTCTCAAAACTCGCTAAGTGAACGTAAGTACTTACGCTCTATTTTCTGGTCTCTGATTGGTGGATTTTGCTTGAAAAGCCGTCAATGATTGGCTGATGAACTTACGATCTCTTAACTTTTTTTGAAAGAATAGGCCAGCTGAAGTCAAGCTAAATTCACCTTACCCTTCATCGGTGATCTTACATATTGAATGAAACGAGAAGTTCGGTATAGTGCTACTGATGATAAATGCTAAAGTAGGAACAAAGTATATAACATTGAATAAAACGGGACATTAGGTACAATGCTACTGGTTTTGAAACCTGTGATATTGAACGAAACGGGAAGTTCGGTATAGTGCTACTGATGATAAATGCTAAAGTAGGAACATAGTACACAATATCGAATAAAACGGGACTTTAGGTACAATGCTACTGATGAGAAACGGTACGGTTGGACCGGTATACCATGATATTGAATTGTACAGGAATTTAGGTGCAGAGTAGTCTAATTGAAAGACATCGTAGTCTAATTAGGATGGGTTTCGTTTTATATTGTAGTAATTTGAAAATAATAATCATTAGTAGTGTCTTTGCGTGCAATGCAAGATACCGGAAAAACATCAGTATCTTTTATAACCTGAAACTTTGAACATCCCCATAAAACAAGACGAAAAAATTAACTCAATACCCTTTCGATGTGCTACGTCTCAATGGCCCCATCAAGTAGTAAACCTTTATAATTATCACATCTTGGGCAGACTAACTCAATAAAAGTAAACATATTAATATAATTAAATGCACATTAGAACAGATTTTTCACCAATCATAACTAAGTTCTTGCATGTGGCCGATGCGAAGGTCATCGAATGGGGCTGGACTTGGTCGAAGAGTCAGACTCGTCCGTCGACGAACCTCGGACCTCGCGCTTCCGGTTGTAAAATTTGGGCCGAGGAATGATCCATTCTTCGTCGGACTCAGATCCAGCAGATCCCCAACGTACCGGAGAGGAGTTAGGGGAAAGAGCATTCACCTGCTGTTTTCTGTAACGAGGCATTTGAGTTTGTTGCGGCTGTGGAGCACGTGGACGTTGCGGATGTTGCTGCGCACGGTGCTGTTGCGCTTGTTGCTGCTGAAGTGCCGCAATTTTGGGCTTCTGAGTGATAGGCACTGAAATCCTTCGGTTGCGTTGAAGGGTAAGATCCAGTTCGTCACTGGAACTTGTAGAGCTATAAACAGGGCTGCTAGTGCAGCTAGTCTTGCGGCCAGGGGCAGCACTACGAGACACGCGTTTATGAGAGCTGTTGAGAGTTGCGTAGGTGTCGTTGTCGTTTCCTCCAGCCAACGCACGTTCTTCTCTCAGACTGTCGAAAAGGGGGTGGCCTGTACGATGAATAGACCGCACTTTTTCTTCTCGGTCCAGCGTTTCAAGGGTTTTGCGGTAGTGGATTTGCTCAACAGATTCATAAATGTTGTCTACTGACGCCGCTCCAGTCAGAGTTCCGATCAAAGCAAGAATTTCGCCGTTTGCGGTCACGCTGATTTTGTTTTCCTTGTTCTTGCTATTGAGAGAGTTTGTGGCCGAGTTTAAGAGCTTGTTGGTCTTTGCTCTATCTTTACCTTTGGGTTGTTCGACGGGTTCGCGAGTCATAGTTCGACCTCGTTGGGTTTCCATAAAGTGATCGAGATAACGACCATCATCATTAGCTCCGAGAAGCTGTAGGCTGTTGAAACGTTCATTACGATTAGGCTGATTGAGGAAACGCGAGAAGCCCGCTTCGCCCTCATAGGACTGTTGCCGACGTAGGCCCTCAAAGAGACGATGTTTACGTCTGTCACCGCTCACGTGCTGTTTCTCAACTCTCACTTTCTCGAACTGACTGTAGTCCCTAGCAGGACCCTGGTTTAGCTTGGCCATGCTGTATGACCTAACCGGAGGATACATTTGGGCCATGGGAACTGGTGGATAATATCCAGGCATTTCTAGATGCTGAATTTTTCGTAAATCTCTCAATCACAAAGAAAGGCACTATCGAGCCGACCGAACACCAGCTATCGTTGTCACCGACTGAAGCTTACAGGCACTTTATGTCGCACCACTTCCTCACACGAGATAGATGACAATTGAATCAGTTACAGTTCAATATGAACGCAATGCACAGGAATATTTCTATAAGGTTACACAAGAAGTCACATGAAAGGCGTAGGAAATAGTATTACGATGAGACTATCACAAAAACGTGGCTTATCTCAATCAAGGTAAAGGAAGGAAGGCTGAAGCAGCTCCAAGATGTCGCTGCTGCCGAAGGGAAATCCGTAAGTCTTGCTTTACGAAGGTGAGCAACTTGCCGAGATGAGACTTCGGGTCAAGTCTGCAAGATCACTTCAAACTGGTCTTCGATGAGCTTTTTGAAGGACAAAATGCACACTAAGAGCAGCACTGAATAGTAAACGATGGTCGTTGGATTCAATACAGGCCTCAAAAGAGAACGTATTGAAATAGATTTCCTTCGCGTTTAGGAATGAATGTAGAACAGTTGAGTCTTCTCTGTTTCGTGTTCCGCTTGCGGATGTGATATGACAGTATTTATCGCAGATAGGAAGCACAATGGCAACTTTCCTTAATATATAAAACAGGATGACTTTCGGACTGTCTGCGGAGGTCAACTGAGTATATTATGATCAAGAAGGAACTTTTGACCAAATACTCGATGAGTCGTTTGTAGTAACTTGAACAATTTAATCCAAGTTTCAAAACAAGACAAATCACACTTCTCGGCTGTAATCGATGTTCTCCTTTCCAAACTCGAGACTAAGCAGACGAGCAGCAAAGCTTATTCCAGCGTTGGTTGTTGTAACCAAAAACAGAAAAGCTGCAAGTAAATCCTTCGGTATTTCTAATCCAGGCTACCCAGTTGCAAGGGCACTCCTGAATGCAAGAAGGATTTGGTCGTCTGCAAAAGACTGCTTCGGAGAGAGGAGTCGAGAAGGCGAGTGACCGACCGCTACGACGTCCAAGCGTAAAGTGGCAGACTTGAAACGTGCGCCGCCGTAGTTCGCAAGCGTCGCAAACAAGGCAACCAAGTTAGGCTCCACCCAACGGAATCACATGCAGGGTGCCTGCTTCTCTCCCCCTTCTTCAGATCACCCATCCCTCTCCAACACGGCTCATACCAAACCTCTATAGTACATTAAATCATCACGATGCAGCTGTTGATTGCCACGCCTAAATTAGAGTCTCTTCATGTCACTCAGCTTCTGTATCTCTAACAATCCAAATGCCCGCGGAATATTCTAGAAATTTCATGAAAACCAGCAATGCCGAGGTGAAATGTGTGCAGAAATTCAAGTGACGAATTCAGAATATTGATAACCAGCCACGCACAATTAATGGCACTTATTCCCTAAAATGATCAAATCTTCGTCCACTGAGTGAATTCCAACCGATAATAATAATAATAATAGTAATAGAAAACTAGAGCCCGTAAGGACCAACAATGGAACATTGGATTAAACAGGTTGAAAAAATGTGAGAAATGGATAAATGGGGAAGAATGTTGCATGTTGAGGAGAGGGTACAAGACAGACGGTAGAAGGACAGCTGGTATTATCCTTACGAACTGAGCTAGGCAACCAGCTGTGGGCGGAGTCAGCCAGATGGTCCAGTTCACAGGAGCACAACTCGCAACACTCAAGGCCGACCACCGAACTTGTTTGCCCCCGCCCTACCCCCTCCCTCCCTACCCCCACTCTGCTCCCTCCTTGCTCCCTCCTTACTCCATCCTTACCCCCTCCCTGCTCCCTCCCAGCTCCCTCCCTGCTCCCTCCCTGCTCCCTCCCTTCTCCCTCTCTGCCCACTCCGTCTCCCTCCCTCTTAGCCTCTCTCTGTCCTGAGTGTCCTCTCTATCTTGACCTTCTTTTATTAACCCTTTTCAGTAACCTTACCTTAACTATCCTTGCTCCCTCCATCCTGAACCCTCCCTGCTCCCTCCATCCTGAACCCTCCCTGCTCCCTCCATCCTGAACCCTTCCTGCTCCCTCCATCCTGAACCCTCCCTGCTCCCTCCATCCTGAACCCTCCATGTTCCCTCCATCCTGCTCACTCCTCACCCTCCAGCTTTATCTTCCGGCTCAAGCTTAAGAGCCTTCATAACTAAATAATTTCTAAAGCTTCTAGCCATATTTTATTTCCACGCTCTAAATTTAATATCATTGAACNAGGATTGAGGATGAGGATTCTCATTTGAAATTAATTCGGCAATAAATTTATTCATTTTAATTAATAAATTAATTTCATTTATTGATCACGTCAATTGGAGTGATGCAGAATTCAACAGAACTAACTTCAATTGAAGCCGTTCTTAGGCTGCTGGAAAAATTTAAAACTATTCAACCGATCTTTCTGTCTCACACACAGAGAAATTTGAGGGTTGTTTTCCTACGCTAACAAAATTTAGAGTCGCCCCCAGCTTCTGGTAATCCAAATCAGAAGCTGACGCGTCTGTAAATTTTCACTGGGTAACAAAATTTAGAGTCGCCCCAGCTTCTGCATGGTAATCCAAAGCAGAAGCTGCCGCGACTGTAAATATTCACTGGGTTATATAGGCATTGATCACACTGCACTTTGCGTGCTCGTTTTGAGCGAGTTTTGGGGTTATATTGGGAGGCTTGCTCAACAACTTTCAGTGAGCTCATTAACCATGTCAAGGGCTCACATGCTAAGGGCTCATATGCATATAATGGCTCGTATGCTAAGGACTTAGCAACTAGACCCAAACTATGCTAACGAGTCATTAAATGCCAGGATGCCATCAACAAGAACGCCACGAAAGAGAACGCCGTGAATGAAAACGCCACGAATGAGAACGTCGTGAATGAGAACGCCATGAAGGAGAACGCCACGAATGAAAACGCCGTGAATGAGAACGCCGCACATATAAGAACGCCACGAATGAGAATGTCATGAATGTCAACGTAATGAATGAGAACGCCGTGAATGAATAAAATAATTACATAAAATAAAGCCATCGCATCGAGCACGCAAATGTCGCATGCAAAATAGCCCACCGAGACCACAATAGACCATCGTAATTAATCCCATTGCACAGTCTGAACAATGGATGGGTCTATTGTCCTAATAATGACACACATTTGTCCGCAGAACACTGATGCACCTTTTGCCGGGCCAAACTGGGTCAGGATGCATGAATTTTAAAATAGAATGCATCGCTTTTTGGATAAAACGGATCGCTTTTTGGACAAAATTCATTGCTTTTGGACAAAATGCATTGCTTTTGGACAAAATGCATTGCTTTTTGGACGAAATGAATCGCTTTTTGGACAAAATGCTTCGCTTTTTGGACAAAATGCTTCGCTTTTTGGATAAAGTATATCGCTTTAGGATAAAATGCATCGCTTTTTGGATAAAGTATATCGCTTTAGGACAAAATGCATCGCTTTTTGGCTAAAGTATATCGCTTTAGGACAAAATGCATCGCTATTGGACAAAATGCATCGCTTTTTGGACAAAATGCATCGCTTTTTGGACAAAATGCATCGCTTTTTGGACTAATTGCATCAATTTTTGGACAAAATGCATCGCTATTGAACAAAATGCGTTGCGTTTGGACGAAATGTTTCGCTTTTGGGAAGAAATGCATCGCATTTGGACAAAATGCTTCGCTTTTTGGACGGAATGCACCGCTTATGGTATAAAATGCATCACTTTTTGGATAAAATGGATCGCTTATTGGACAGAGTGTATCGCTTTTGGACAAAATACATCGCTTTTTGGATAAAATGCATCGCTTATTGGACAGAATGTATCGCTTTTGGACAAAATGCGTCGTGTTTGAGAAAAAATTCATCGTGTTTGGACATAATACATTGCTTTTAGGAGAAAATGCATCGCTTTTTGGACAAAATGCATCGTGTTTGGATATACTGCATCGCTTTTGGGGCAAAATGCATTGCTTTTTGGACAAAATGCATCGCTTTTTGAACAAAATGCATCGTGTTTGGATATACTGCATCGCTTTTGGGGCAAAATGCATCGCTTATTGGACAGAATGTATCGCTTATTGGACAGAATGTATCGCTTTTGGACAAAATACATCGCTTTTTGGACAAAATGCATCGCTTTTTGGACTAATTGCATCGCTTTTGGATAGAATGCATCACTTTTCGACAAAATGCATCGTTTTCTGGACAAAATGCATCACTTTTAGGAAAAAAATGCATCGTTTTAGGGACAAATAATTGTTTTTTACAAAATGCATCGGTTTTTAGGCAAAATGCATCCCTCTTTTACACAAAATGCCTCGCTTTTTTGGACAAAGTGCATCGCTTTTTGGACAAAATGCCTCGTTTTTAGCGCATTTTCTCATTTATGGAAAAAATACACTATTGTGCTCGCCATGTCCGTCTGTCTGTCTGTCCGTCTGTCCGTCTGTCCGTGACCTCAAGTTTTCATCGACGAGAAAATGCGCTCTCTGTCACTCACTGCAGTGAGTACTGAGTTATATATTTTTAGACAAAGTCGCACTAATTTTCCTGAGTACTCAGACAAGGTATGTTTTTTCTCCCAGTCCACAGCGAGGACAAAACTTTTTCCCAGTTTCTGAAGTCCTCGGGACAATTGGAGATAAGAATGCGACGTGCCTACGTGTTATCTGCAGCTACACGCACGCATCACGTGATCAACTTGCCGTGCTATATGCATATACATGTTACCTTCTTATACGAGTATGATTCTTATATACGAGAGAATATGTGTATTATTTTAATTGTACTCAAATACCTATAATATTATACTATACATATATATAGTGTATGTTATACGTGTAGTATATGTATAGTATATGTTATATTGCATATACATGTTACCTTCCTATACGAGTACGTGATTCTTATATACGAGAATATCTGTAATATTTTAATTGTATTCAAATACTAATAATATTATAATATACACTATATTGTAGTACGTTGGGATATATAATATACATGTTACCTTCCTATATACGAGCGTGATTCTAATATACGAGCGTAATATGATATGTGTATTATTTTATTTGTGTTCAAATACTTATACTATGCATGTTTATAGTGTATGATATACATGTAGTATATGTATAGTATGGTAGAGTCCATGATTCTTATATACGTGATTCTTATAGAATATGTGTATTATTTTATTTGTATTCAAATACTTATAATATTATACTGTGCATGTTATACATGTAGTATATGTTATAGTATATATACATGTTCCTTTCTATACGAGTACGTGATTCTTATATACGAGAATATGTGTATTATTTCAATTATATTCAAACACTAATAATATTCTACTGTATACTATATTGTAGTTGGGATATATAATATACATGTTACCTTCTTATACGAGTACGTGATTCTTATGTATGAGAGAAAATTTGTATTATTTTATTTGTATTCAAATACTTATATTATACTATGCATGTATATAGTGTATGATATACATGTAGAATATGTATAGTATAGTAAATGTTATAGGTAGTATATATACATGTTACCTTTTTATACGAGTACGCGATTCTTAAATACGAGAGAGTATGTGTATTATATTATTTGTATTCAAATACTTATAATATTCCACTATATAATATATTCAAGATGGGCTATATACATATACATATGTTACCTTCCTACACCGAGTCCATGATTCTAATATACGAGAGAATATGTGTATTATTTTAAATATATTCAAATGCTTATAATACTATACTATATACTATATTATCTAGATGGAGGGCACACAGACAGGGTAATATACGGGTTGCATATATTATGTTCACGTCATAGTTAAACTTACGAATTATTTAAGACCACAACTTAATCGTTATGAAAAGTGAGACCTAATAGGTACGCGATACTTAATTAAACCAAAATTACAGTCTAGTTACATTTTTGCTGATATTTTCTTACAGAATTTCAAAATATAACATATATCACTTCCAATTTTTTCCAAAATTCATTTCATTTT